TCAGTCAGAGGCCGGTTCACCATCTCCAGAGACAACAGCAGACAGCAGCTGTATCTGCAGATGAACAGTCTGAGGACTGAAGATTCTGCTGTTTATTATTGTACTCGAGACTCACAGTGATGCAAAAGGGAGAAATGCTGTACAAAAACTCAGCACATTAAACTAAGTCAAAATTAGATTATCAGTGACAGAAATTAAATTTAACTTATGAACAAACACAGAGACAAAAAAAAAACTGTTGTTGGGAAAGGGCTAATGATTGTTTTCATTTGTATTTGGGAAAACCAGAGTCTGGTTTGTTTGAAATATGTTTTTCAGAAATTGAAAAACAAGAAAAAAACAAATAATAAACAAAAACACTATATATTCTCTTTATGGTATCAGTGTCTTTGCTTAGATTACTCCATGTGGCAGGAAAATCCATGTTTCTCTTATAATCATTCAAACTGGGCTAATTACAGACTGAAATAAAGACTCATATGAAACCCTCAATTACATCAGAAGAGGAGAAGCTTCCATCTGAAGCTGTTGCTGCTGGCTGCAGGACACTGTAAACGCTTTTATGGCATTTACACCAACCATGTATTTTTTCACAGGTGCAGAGTTTTAAGAGGTGAGACAGCCAGCCTCTGACTATGCAGACAGGTCAACCTCTGAGTACTCGACATCAAACATGTTTTCTATGATGATTAGTAAGAGGAAAAATATTCTGGGATCACAAATCATTAATTCTACTCGAGTAATTCTCTCATTACTTGCAAATGCTAATTTTGTTTCCACATGTTTCTAGACATATGATAATGCATGCAATACCATAGCTGAACTTCTTCCAGTGAAAGAGCCAGAGGCATGTGTAACATGCTGATATAATAGCACAGGGCTATTGTTTCATGTTATAATCACATTTATTTTTAAAATCGTACAAAACGCTGTAACAGAAATGAGCACTCTTTTCTGGTACAAATCTTCAGTCTGTGGAGTGGAGTGCCGAGTGGTCCTTTGTATTGTGTGGAGAGCAAGAGGGCGCATCTTCAGACTCAGAGTGATGACCATAGTCATGTTTCTGCTGCCACTCTCTATTTAAAAAAAAACCCTGTGGTAATAATGTAATTTTAAAGACCTCAGACTAATAATATGTCACATGCTAAAGATAGTGATCTGTGCTGGAGGTCAAATTCCAAATCAATCTGAATGTAATACCTGAAGATGTTCTATGTTTTGTTTTATAAGTCACAATAACAGAAAGCACCAGAGCTGAATTATACCAAAAAGCATCAGCAACTAACCACCACACGTGCCAAGAGAAACTTGAACCACATTTTTATATTATATATCTCACATTTCGTCGAAAGTTTTGTTTGAAATTTTCTGTCACACCAATCACAGCTGAAAATAGACTACTGTATTAATATGGCGTTATTTTTGTGCCAGTATTCTGAGCACACATAAAAAGATTTTGAGCGCATGTAAAAAGAAAAGCATTTTAAGGAGAAAATTATTTTGAGCGAAGAAAAGCTTAATTTGAGCCAACAAGATTCATTGCTGCGTGCATAAAATGTATTTCAGTGTTTGTTATTATCCATATACACACACTAACAGCCCGTCTCGCTCAGTTTTTGCATTTGCTCTTTCTCAGATCTCTGTGGACCTGCTCGCAGTGTGTTGCTCCCGCTCTCAACATATCTGCTCCCTGCTTGCTCAACTCTTTCTGAACACCATTATATTTGTGTCACAAAACCAACCAATCACAGACTTGGATGCAAAAATTCAGATTGGCTGTTCTGGTCTCCAATCAGCTCGCTAGCTACTGTAGCTAAACCCAGCCAAATATCCCAGAATGCATTTCGTCCAAAACTCAAACGTGGCAATGGCCGAGGAAAGCGGCTAAAAGGTTTGAAATATTAGACATCACATATTTGGAAAAGTGCTCTGATTTACTGTTTACGGAGATGCCTGTTACCCACCAGCTGACCGGGTGGTCAAGGCTCACTAGAGCTGGCAGGAGCATTGGACTCCCGTCACATCGTTTTCAAACCACCCGCGGTCTTTCGCTACTCAGGTTAAACATTATATATAAGTCACTTGGATAACTTCTAAATGTTAATGTTTGGTTTATTTCAGTGTTTGATTTGTTCCTGAGTAAATCGGCTTGGCTGAGATTAAAGTTAAGCTTCATAACTGGACCATTTTATTTAATACTGAAGTCTTTACTTGGAGAGCTGTCAGTATATTTTGAATTTCACCCGTCATATCCCCCGATGTAAAATGTTCTGTTCTTATTTAAACAGCTGACTCAGAATTAAATCTAAGATTAAAAAAATCATGGTGGCACGGTGGTTAGCACTGTTGCTGCACAGCAAGAAGGTCCTGAGTTCAATTCCAACATCAGGCTGGGGTCTTTCTGTGTGGAGTTTGCATGTTCTCCCCGTGTTTGCGTGGGTTCCCTCCGGGTACTCCCGCTTCCTCCCACCGTCCAAAGACATGCAGCTTGTGGGGATAGGTTAACTGGATAATCCAAATTGTCACTAGGTGTGAATGTGTGAATGAATGTGTAATTTCCATTGCAAATATTAATCACAGTTAAATTAAGAGGGAATGGCAGTATAAACTCCAGAATGGAGATGTCATTCTCGGGAATTTCGGACTCCCATGTGAACTTACAAAGTCCGGATTAGCGAGAACGCGAGTACGGACTCGCTTACTTGAGAATTTAGAAACAGACCCATTTTCGGTTAGTATGATTAATTATTTTATTTTAAAATATGTAATTTTTTAAGACCATTGTTGGTTTTAGTCTAGTTTAAACCAAACCACTCCACTGGATTTAGCTACATTTTGGACAGTGCTCCCAGAATGCAGAAGCTAGCGAGCTGATTGGAGACCAAAACAGCCAATCAGAATTTTTGCATCCAAGTCTGTGATTAGTTGGTTTTGTGGCACAAATATAACAGTGTACAGAAAGAGTTGAGCACGCAGGGAGCAGAGATGTTGAGAGCGGGAACAACACACTGTGAGGAGGTCCACAGAGATCTGAAAAAGAGCAAATGGAAAAACTGAGTGAGAGGGGCTGTTTTTGTGTGTGTATATGGATAATAACAAACACTGAAATACATTTTATGCACGCAGCAATGAATCTTGTTGGCTCAAATTAAGCTTTTCTTCGCTCAAAATAATTTTATCCTCAAAATGAAACACTTGTACTTGAAAATCTTTTTTTTTACGTGCGCTCAAATCTTTTTTTACGTGCGCTCAGAATACTGGCAAAAAAATAATGCCGTATATAAAACAAAATGAGGCAACACTGTGCAAATTAATGCATATTTAAATGCAGTTTCCCCCCTCCCTGTCAGGAGGAGTCATGCAAAACCTAGATGTTTCCCCCTTCTACTTATCTGACCAACAAAGAACAGTGGACACAGATCAACATGATGGAGTATTTGAAAGGACTACTAATTTTATTTATCTGCTGGGCAGGTGAAAACATCCTAACATAACACATGCTGGTCTTTTTTTCCATCAACCTATTTATGGTATTTATGTTCTTTTAAAAAAAATTCTCTTGACAGGTGTTGATGGTCAGACTCTGACACAATCTGAACCTGTGGTTAAAAGGCCTGGAGAATCCCACACACTGACATGTACAGCCTCTGGATTCTCATTCAGTGGCTACTGGATGGGCTGGGTCAGACAGGCTCCTGGAAAAGGACTGGAGTGGGTTGCTACTCTTGATAGTGGCAGTGGTAGCAGCAAATACTACTCTCAGTCAGTCAGAGGCCGGTTCACCATCTCCAGAGACAACAGCAGACAGCAGCTGTATCTCCAGATGAACAGTCTGAAGACTGAAGATTCTGCTGTTTATTATTGTGCTCGAGAGTCACAGTAACTGAAGGTAGTTAAGCAGCTGTACAAAAACCAAAAAAAACCTTCACAATTGTAATAAAGCAGGAATATTCAACTAAAAGCTAAAGAGGTCCAGTGAGACATTTTGTTGATACAAAGGTCCCTAATGATCATAATTATTTATTGTCTCATTATTTAGTGTGATATATAAATAACACACCTGAGTGTCAAATGAAATTAAATCAGTACAATAAAAAAAAAAAAACTTCTGACAAGAAATTTGACAAATAATTCAAAACCTCAAGCACCATAGAACTGAACATATATGTATCACTGCTGAAAATTCCCACCATTGAAAGGTGAAACTTGTGCATGTTCAAATGAAGTGCTTAACTTCAGGGAAGCTTCATGCGAGAAGCTTCTTCATTTCTAACTGAAGAACTGAAGAAGCTTCATGGATGAGAGGTGAAACGTCTTCAAGAAACTTAAAGAAGTCCAGACGCTTTTCTTTCCAAGCTCTTTAGACTACAAAGACCTGGATGACTGAGAACCTTCACAGACATGTTACATATTGATACTTCTTAACCAGGCAACAGTGTACGTGTGACTTTCATCAAGCAGGGTGCAGTTTTCCCCTTTCTTCCTGTGAGATACATGCAAAACTTGTTTTTAGCTTTTTTCTCTTCTTTTTTAATTGTTCCTTTTTCTAGGGTGGGATGACCATACGCTACACATCTTTAAAGATGTAAAAAAAAACAAAAGAATTATGTAAATAAATTTGAATTTATTTTGGATCTTGAAACACATACAGGAATGAACGCCATGTAAAAATTTCAATAAAAATTTTTACCATCAAGGAGAAGAAAAGTTTTCTCACTGATTAAATTCATTGCTTAAACTAAACCTCACAGAGAGCCTTGATTTAATAAAAAAATGGCATTGGATTTCTGCCTTTAAATACCTAATTTAATAATGTATTTATATATTTACTGGTTATTGTATTTTATCATGAGCTTTTATATTAATTTATATATTTACATAACACAATAAAGCCTTATTAGGTTTTGCTTCCTGTGAGGAGGAGTTAAGACTAAACCCAAATGTCTTTCACCTATATATATATATATATATATATATCAGTACAGAAAGTTTGACAGACAGCAGCTGGCACACAGTTTACCAGTATGGGCTACAAGATAGTAGTACTGATTTTGACGATCTGCTTTGCAGGTGAAATAGATTCTATTATTATGCTGATTTTAGATCTGAATCCAGCACATTTAATCAGGTTTTTTTAAATTCTCTTTATAGGTGTTGATGGTCAAACCCTGACTGAATCTGAACCAGCAGTTAAAAGGCCTGGACAATCCCACAGACTGACCTGTACGACCTCTGGATTCACATTCAGCAGCTACGCTATGGACTGGGTCAGACAGGCTCCAGGAAAAGGACTGGAGTGGATTGCTTTTATAAGCACTTCAACTTATAGTTATGTTACGTCTTATTCCCAGTCAGTCCAGGGTAGATTCACCATCTCCAGAGATGACTCCAGCAGTAAACTCTATCTACAGATGAACAATCTGAAGACTGAGGACACAGCAGTTTATTACTGTGCCCGACACAACACAGTGAGAGAAAATAATAGGAGAGTCATACATAAACTTCCTCTTTTACAGCAACGGGGAACAGGAGAGAAAAGATTACTTAAGCTTTAGAAATAATGTTGTTTATCACGAAATTATCTTTGTACTTTGTATTATGTGGTTTAAAATATCTACATATTGCAAATATTATAATATCTCAAAATGATTAATTGATTTAATTAAAAAAAAATTCATTCATTGCCTATCGTCAAAAGATCATGCTTTATTAAAGAAAGAAGATCAATCAGTACATTTTGTTTTTTAAAGACTTTTAACTCTTTAATGCTATGAGTGCTGACTCAGCTATAAAAACTTTATCACTGACGTCATGCCAACACATCAGTTTGAACATAAACCATGTTTCCTGTACCTCTGTTACTGTTTTGGGGGGCCTGGATTTGAGTCTGTCTGGCCACAGTTGTTCTTTTTTAGTAAATTTTGATATCTTGCAACAAACAATTTTCTTGTTTTTAACGATGTGAAGTGTGAACATCTGACACAGTTATCCTCTGTCTCTGTGTATCCGACCATCACTTGTCAGGTCTCTTATTCTGTTAGTAACTATAACACAGCCTGGATCAGACAGCCTGCAGGGAAAAGGACTGGAGTTTTTTCAAAGTGCATGTTTTGGATCCATGACATACTACAAAGAATAATTAAAGAACAAATTCAGTTTGGACTTACAGTCTTCCAGCAACACAGTGACTCTAAATGGACAAAATATGCACCTGAGCATGCTGCTGTGTATTATTGTGCCAGACACTTACAGTAACACAAATCATCAGCAGGCCTGAACAAAACCCCTCAAAGTCTTAACACTTGGAACATGAAGCCACCAGAGGAGGCGCCCTAAGACCACTAATGACTTCAGGACCAGACCAAGTCTCTTTAATTACTGTTTAAAGCATTCTTGATGTGGAATCATATAAAACAGATAAATGATTCTATTCATAATAGAAGACATACATTGTTTTGTAACTTGTTCATTTATTGACAGTCTGTGAGCTGTTAGTGTCCAAGGATTGTTTTTTTTCATAATAATTTATATTAATTTGGCATATTGAGGAAAATATCTGTGACTGAAATATATGAGCATTTTGAACAAAATGATTTGAAAATACTGGCAGTTTAGTTTGTCTTTAATCACTCTAACAAGATTAATAGAACATGCATTCTAATAATGGATTTCAAAAATGTTGTTGTTGTTTTTTTAATTCGGAGGGTTCATCTTTTTGAATGCATTAAACTCTTTTATTTAAAACTTTTAAATCAACAGTAATTGATATTTTACTAAATAGCCTTATCATCATTATCCTCCTTATTATTCTTAACAAAATTCATTGTAATATATTAATAAAAGCAAAATGTATTTTAGGACTATGGGATTTTCATGTTAAGGTCTGCAAAATAAACAAATGAACTTAACTTAGCAAGCGCGTCATGTGCTGGATTAATTCTATGCAAATTCTGTGGCCTTTCCTTTAACACAGCTATAAAAATTTGACAGCAAACCGTCAGTTTGCTTCACAGCAGATCAGTTACAACATAAAACATGTTTTCTGTGGCTCTGCTGCTGCTTTTGGCTGCTGGATCCTGTAAGTCTCTGTAGACTTTTCAGTGGTTAATTCTTTTGTGGTACAAATTTCTTATAAAACATGTTTATTTTTCTTTTAACAGGTGTGCAATGTGAACAGCTGACACAACCAGCTTATGTGACTAAGCAGCCAGGCCAGCGTCTGTCCATCACCTGTCGGGTCTCTTATTCTGTGGGCGGCTACTACACAGCCTGGATCAGACAGCCTGCAGGGAAAGGACTGGAGTGGATTGGTAGCAAATATACTGGAGCTTCATACTACAAAGATTCACTGAAGAGCAAGTTTAGTATAGACTTAGACTCTTCCAGCAACACAGTTACTCTAAATGAACAGAATATGCAGCCTGAAGACACTGCTGTGTATTACTGTGCCAGAGACCCACAGTAACACAAACCATCCGTAGACCTGAACAAAAACCCCACAATGCCTGAGCAGCAGGTTTGAGAGACAGTATACAAAAACATGTTTCTTTAATTGAACCATTTACATCATCCATCCATCGCTACTTTTCTTCCCTCCTAAAGACGACGGTAAAAATGTATGAAATTAGATGAAAGGAAAGGATGAAACGTATGTAAATATGTTAATAATTATAATATAATAATATAATAATAAACTGTTTCTGAGTGCTAGAGTTTTTTAGAGCAGTGATTTGTTTTTCAAATGTTAACTAGAAATTGAAGTGTTAATGTTACAGTAATAAATATTGTGTATAAATGATAGTATTAATACATTTTAATAAATACTCAGTTTATCAGCAGATACAGCTGTTCACATTGTGATTCTGTGACTCTGCAGCCAGGTCAACTTTCTTTCAACTCTCTCAGCAGTTATTGGACAGCTTGTGTCAGAAAGCCTGCAGGGGAAGTATTAGCATTGTTTGAAATAAGATAAACCCAAGATTCAAACTACAGTAAGAGTCACTAAAGAATAAATTAATATTAACTTGGAGACTTCCAGCAAAAGAGGGCAATAGGCCATGCGAGCCATACACACAGATCTGTGTATCATAGTTTGTTTGTTTTTTTGTTTAAAAAAGATCAAATTATGAATCAGACAGCCTGTTGGCTGATTGGCTGCTCAAACTGAAAATAATAACTGAAATAATTTTCTGCCTCACAGCGAGGGCAAATCATAATGAGAATCCATGTAATCTACACTGTTTGTCACATACACTGGATTTTGTGAAATTTTGTCACAAAATTTGTCCCAATTTTTTTATGGGACAGTAGTGACAGGTTTGCGGAGAACTTCTTGTATTCTCATCATATTTGCAAAGTTTTCTGCAGAGACTGGCGCTGGCTGGTTTTTGAAGGTTCAAAAGGGGAATCTAGAAGCAGTTTAATAGTGAAATAACATGAGAGTGATCATATATGGTGTGCAAAACCCCCCAATGTAATTTAGAGATCAGAGTGTTCCTTGAAACAGGCAGAGTTCAAATAGCATGGCAAAATGGTGGAGTGATGATATAACATCCTTAAACAATGACGTTTTGTTAAAACACAAAGTTAAGAATCATCATCCAATATTCAACCCTTTAAGAGGAGGAGTCTATGCAAAACTGATATCTTTAGTCGGTTTATATATTCTGCAGTCAGGTCTTAAAAAAAACCTCTGACACAAAGCAAACTTAGACAATTTTAACAATGACCACCTTTGTTTGTTTGGCTATTTTCGTCATTCAGTTTTTCAGATTGACTGGTAAGTACTTCAAATTATTTAAAAAAAATAACCTGGCAAAGAAAAAGTGACTACATTAATGGACTGTGAAGGTCAAACACTGACTGAGTCAGAACCAGTGATTAAAAGGGCTGCAGACTCCCACAGACTGACATGTACATACTCAGATTTCAGTGTTCATGAAGACAATGTTTGGATCAGACAGGCTCCTGGAAATGGACTGGAGTGGATTGCTTACATCATTGGTGGTGGTAGCTATATCCACTATTCTCAGTCAGTCAAAGGCCGGTTTACCATCTCCAGAGACAACAGCAGGCAGCAGGTGTATCTGCAGATGAACAGTTTGAATAATGAAGACTCTGCTGTGTATTATTGTGCTCGACACTCACAGTGACACAGGAGGGAAAACACACTGTACAAAAACCCCTAACACCCATGTCAAGTGGAGTCATTGCTTTATAGCCTCTTCCTATTCATGACTCAAAGCAAACTTCCCAACAGTCTATTATGAAGCGTTGATATCACGCTGTCAGTTGCATCTGAACAGAAGCTTCCATGAGAAAATGAAAAGCAGCATTGCATTAAAAAAATATTATTTACATAAATTGAGAAAAGTAAAGATCCTGCGGCCCACCTTTGTATAGAGGGAGCAAGAAAGACGGAAAAGACTAAATTTGTGCTCAGGTATTTGCAACACTGTGACTTTGAGTTACGTTCAAAGTAACATGAGACCAAATGTTCATCAAGCTGTGAGCTGTAACAGGTAGGACCCTTAGACTAAAATACATTCCTAACGTTTAATTAAGAGTATTTTGTTTTAATTCTTATTAAATAAGATAAAACGAAGGTCAAACTTGAGCGCATTTGAGTCAATTCATACATAAGTGCATTAATGGTACTTCATACACTGAAGTTGCATTAAGTGCATAAAGTACATTTTAGTTTATCTATTTAATTTTTTTGCTTATTGTCACACATAGTTTCAGCTTCTCTGCAGTTTTGTTTTTTTATCGCCACATCTTTGACTTTGCACAGCTGCAATAACTGAAAACATTGAGTGTCTTTTTAGTCTCACTGAGAAAAAGGGAACCTAGCAGTTGCTTGCATTTGGTGAACAAAGGTCTTTAAGTGTTATAAACAAGAACATACCAAAGTTTCAAATACACTGTGTTTATGTTTACTTTTGTGATTACTTTGTTTAGGTAGTAAAGGTAATCATAATTCCAGGAAACACACATCATAATAAAAGGAGGATCAGCAATTTAAAAATATGGTAAACACACTGGAGAACTTTAGAAATCCACAGTTTTTTACTAATTAACGGCAACTCTTCCCGTCAAGTAGTGGATAAAAGAAGATGTCTTTGGGTACTTTAGGTGCTCCCTCATTTCTCAAGTTGTCACCACAGTGGATGATGGGGAGGAGTCCATGCAAAATGGACATCTTTAAAATCATTACTGTATATGTTGCAGAGCAAAGGCGAGGGACTCAATCTGATAGACAAACTGTAAAGTGGAAGTTAACTGACTTTTACAATGATCAAATCTGTTTATTTAATTGTTTCTCTCTTTGTGTTTTCTACCTTGTCTGGTAAGGATATAAAACGCTGTTGGATAAGAAGACATATGTATACAAATGATTGTGCTAATGAGCTGTTTCTGTAGGTACTGAGGGTCAAACACTGACAGAGTCTGAACCAGTGGTTAAAAGGCCTGGAGACTCCCACAGACTGACCTGTACATACTCAGGGTTCAATTATAATATTGATGGTGTTTGGGTCAGACAAGCTGCTGGAAAAGGACTGGAATGGATCGCTTATATCAGCAGGAGCAGTGCCATCTTCTACTCTCAGTCATTCAGAGGCCGCTTTACCATCTCCAGAGACAACAGCAGAAAGCAGGTGTATCTGCAGATGAACAGCTTGACAACTGAGGATTCTGCTGTTTACTACTGTGCAGAACAGCCACAGTGACACGAGAGGGAGAAACACTATACAATAACTTAACTTGCCAGGTGTACTTTTGCATCTTTTCTGTGATTTCACATGTTCACTTTTTTATTCAACTGCAAATTTTCTTACCAATAATATCACAATTCTTGACTCTTAACACCACACCGAGTATTAAAACAATTAGGTAATAAAAAAGAAACTAAAAAAGCTTAGCAGTTACTTTTCATATCAGTCTTCAGAAAGCTTCTTATTGATTTCAAATAGAAAAATAGAAAACGTGCTCCCATATGAAGGCGTAGTGGTCAGCACTGTTGCCTCATAGCAAGAAAGTCCTAGTTTCAAATCCATCATCTTGCTTGCACGTTCTCTCCGTATCCATGTGGGTACTTCAGCTTCCTCACTTCAAGTCACCTTTGACATCAGCCATGTTCTCTGTATGATCCATCTGCTGGGAGCTTGACTCTGTGAGGAGCTGCATATGAATAATAAATATAGAAAAAATGCTAAATATTGAGATGAATGACGCATAACCCACAGTGATGCAAAACACACACTAAACTGCACAAATACCCAGCAATCATAAAAATGAATCATGGCTCTTCATTCTTAAATTCTCATGAACATGATAATATTATTACGATTATTATGTTATTACTTTTTTCCAATCTCTGAATGTTTTTATTGTTAATATATATAGTCATCTCTTCAACTCGAAAAGCCTGCTTATAATATGTCCCTTTAAATAAACTCACACTGGCAATATTCTGCAAAGCACTGATGTATTTTTTGCCAATATTATCTGGTGTAGGTTATAGAGGGAGTGTTGGACTGAACATCTTCATGTTCATTATATATCTGTGCTGCTATATTAATAAAACTTTTCAACACATTTGTTCACATGGAAAAATGAAGGGCAATGTGTCAGGACTATTTCAGCTGTTTGTGCATGAATGAAATGGATCCCACAGTGCATCCTGTTTAAAATATTGCTAAGCTGCCCCAAGTGCCTTGTACGAGCTTTATTTCCTACTAAAATATTACAGCGAACAGGCAAAGCAATACTAAACCCAAACAGTAAAAAGTGCAATTTTTGCAGATCTGCAACCTCTGAAAGAATTAATATATTTCCTGTGAAAATGCAGGAAATAATGTCTTTCTGCAAAGCTTTCACCATGTTTGTATAAGGCTGGAAGACATCATAACAATAATGTGCTGAAAAAAAAAATAAGGACAGGATGTACCTACTCATATTTCTGTTGCTATATTTAAG